TTCAGTCTAGAGTGAGATTTAGGGATCAGAATTTTTTTTTTAAATATCTTGGGTATTCCTATCTAATAAAAGAGTGATATGCAAATTTACCATCACTCCACAACAAAGATGGTGCCTCCCATAGTGGCTGGGCAGGATGCTGGCAGCGTCACCCTGGCAACGTGAGCCCAGCAGGCAAGGGGGGCCACAGGCAGCACCCAGCAGGGCCTGCTGGGTGGTGACTGTGGCAACCCATAAGCAGGCAAGCGGGACCCACAGGCGGCACTCAGCAGGGCCTGCTGGGTGGTGGTGGTAGCAACCAGGGAGCAGGCAATTGGGGCCCGCAGGCAGCACCCAGCAGGGCCTGCTTGCCCATCCCCGTGGTGTGGAGCAGGCAGGACCCGCAGAGAGCAGAGAACCATGGGGAGTGGGCCCAAGCCGTCAGTAGCACATCCCTTGAGGGCTCCCAAATTGGAGAGGGTGCAGGTCGGGCTGAGGGACCTCCCTGCCCACCTTCCTTCCCTCCACCCCACTTCCCCCGTGCATGAATTTCATGCACCGGGCCTCTAGTTCTACCATAAAGCAGAATTTAAGAACTATTGATAGAGATATATAATAGATATGGAATTGGAGTAGAAAAATGCCAGGAAACAAAATGATCAAGGCTACTGTATTGCAGTTTTAGGGAGCAAAGTTCACAAAGCATTCTGTTTGAATGGTGCACCCTAGAGTACAACTCCATTTGTGCAATCCTGTGGCAATATTGATGATGGATACTCTCTCCATCCCTTTAATTGGGTGATAAACAGATTGTTACATCTTGAATGCTGCCTCATCCCCTTTCATTATTGCTGTGTTCCTAATGACCCATATCTCTTGATTTTCCAATTTCAAATTCTTGAGAGAGGAAGTTAACATATCCAGCTCATCTTTTTGAGACAGATGACAAAAATCACCTGCTTCTGACCAGCCTATTCAGTGGTTCTCAACCTTGGCTGCACATTAGAATCACCTGGGAATCTTTTCCCCATCTCATCCTCACCCCATTTCATCCTCACCCCATAACAAAGAAACAGAATTTCCGGAGGATGAGGCCCGAAATCAGGATTTTAAAAAGATTCCCAGGTGATTCTAATGTGCAGCCAAGGTTGAGAACCACTGACAGATGAAGGATGCTTGAGCCAGGTGATCACCCCAATCCATCATGACTGGGGGAACATGTGGTGCTGGCCATTAAGGGACCAGAGTTCTGAGCATGGCATGTGACTTCAAGAAGTGTAAGTAGGAAGGTGATGGCAGATCTTAAATGCAATGAGTTTGGTAGAAGCTGACAGATTTCATTAACAGGGTTGAAGCTTGGGTGGCCATAAAATTAACTGAACACATTAAGACACTTGAGAGAGAAACGGTGCTGGGACATTGGGACAGTAGGTGTAGACTGGAACAGTCAGGCAAAGTGGCATATATGGCTTAAATTGTGATAGAAAAGGAGAAAAAAAAGACCTAGATAAAATAGAATATAAAGTAGTCACCTGTTACAGATATAGATGGAAGAACAATAATGAAGAAAGATCTGTAAAGAAATATACTCAGGCAATTTCTCCTACAAACGGCGGAAATTTATGAATACAGCGTCTCTTCATTCTGTTACAGTTCTATATATGCAAATTGTCCTCATAAGACAGGTATATTAATTTCCTAGGGCTATCACAACAAATTACCACAAATTGGATAGCTTAAAACAATAGAAATTTATTGTCACAATTCTGGAGGCTAAAAGTTTGAAATTAAAGTGTCCCGAGACTCTATTGTTTAAGATTCTAGGGGATATTCCTTTCTTGTTTTTTTGCAGCTTCTGGTGGCTCCAGGCATTCCTTGGCTTCTGGATACATAACTCCAACATTTACTTTTGCTGTCACGTGGCTTTCCACTCTTTCCTCTCCATGTCTCTTTTGTCTCTTATAAGGACACTTGCCATTGGATTTAGGGCTCATCTAGTTAATTCAGTATATCTCATTTTGAGATCCTAAACTTAATTACATCTGCAAAGGCCCTTTTTTCAAGTACATTCACATTTACAGGTTCCAGGTGGACATATATTTTGGGGAACCACCATTCAACCCACCGTAGCAGGTAAGGACCTTAGAGTCAGCTTCATTTATAACAGAATGACCTGAAGAAAAAGACATATTCAAGAATCCATTTTTAGGTACTAATATTAGAATTTATGTTGCATTAGCAAACCTATATGAAACGGCCTAAACAATAAAGTAAATTTATGGGCTCACAAAAAGTCAAGAGATAGGTCTAGCTTCAGGTGAGCCTGAAATCAACAGCTCAATCATGATTCATTCCAAGCCTGCACTTTGTTTTCATTGAGTTGCTTCATAATAAAGCTAGTTTAAGTGTGATCTTATAATGGCAGCCTATAGTTCCAACTATTCTTGTTCAGGATCTCCAGAAAAGAATAGCCCACTTTTTTTGTATAATCCTCACCTAAGGGTATGTATTCATTGATTTTTAAAGTGAGATGAGTGAAGACAGAGAGAAAGAGAGAGAGAGAGAGAGAGAGAGAGAGAGAGAGAGAGAGAGAGAGAGATTGAGAGAGAGAAATGTGAGATAAACATCCATCAGTTGCCTCCTTATGTGCCTCGACCAGGAATTGAACCTGAAACTTAGGTATGTGCCCTGACCTGGAATCAAACCCACAACCTTTTTGGTGAATGGGACAATGCTTCAACCAACTGAGCTACCAGGCCAGGGCAAGCCCATACTTTAATAATAAAAACTGAACCACCGAAATTAATTAAATTTGGTTCTCATTGTTCTTGACTTAAGGTGATACTCTAAATTGGCTTAAGTCAATTGGGACTCACTCCTAGAGTTGGAGTGGGGTCAACTGAACCCAAACTACATGGCTGAGACTTAAGATACTCTTTAAAATAAGGAAAATAATAGGATGCTGAAGACACAACCAGCATCACAGAATCACTACAGGTATCAGCAAATAATGAACATGAGAAACAAATAACTAGAAGTAATATTTTCAAAGTGTACATCATGCACCAGGCACATCACACATGAACTATATCATATGTTTGCAATAGCTGTAAGAGGTATGATAATTATTCCCATTTTATTGATCAGGAAATGGAGGCAAGAGATGTTAAGTAGCTTACTCAAAGTCCCACAACTAGTAAGTATATTATTCTGAAGGCAATGAGGACTGTTGTGATACAATTTGTTTTAGAAATATCATTCTGGCAGTACCATGGAGAAAGGATTGGGAGGTCAAGAGGGGTTACTGGGAGGCCAGTAATCCAGATAAGCACCAATGAAGACCTGAACTATAGAATGGGCAGTGAGAATGGGAAGAAATATCTGGTGTGAGAAATATCAAGGAAGTAGAGTCAGTGGACTTGGTAAATTCATATGGAGGGACAATATAGGAATCAATGATGAGCCCTAGGTCTTCAACTTGAATGACTCAGCTTATTCACTACCATTAACTGAAACTATAATAATAGAGTGCTTACTTTATTTTTTTTTAAAAATATGTTTTTATTGATTTCAGAGAAATCTGTATGGAGTTACCTTTAAAAAATTAAAAATAGGACTGCCTTATGACACAGAGGTTCCACTTCTGGGAATTTATCTGAAAAAACCTGAAATACCAATTGGAAAGAATATATGCACCCCCATGTTCATTGTAGCATTATTTACAATAGCTAAGAGGTGGAAGCAGCCCAAGAGTCCATCAGTAGATGAGTGTATAGAAATGGTGGTACATTTGAACAATGGAATATCACTTGGCCATAAACAAATAAGGAGTCAGGTTGGGACACATTTCATGGGGGTAGTGAAACATTTAAGTGGAGGTGTCCTGAGGACCAAAGGTCCTCCAACAATGATGGATAACAAAATCTCCTGGGACACTTGAAAAAATAAATCTGGGGAATGTATTGGGGTCTGGATATCTACCTTTTTAACAAATTTCCCCAGATTATTTGGAAGCCTAGAAAAGATCTGGAATAAACATTTTTTAGGTCATGTGACCTTATGAAAAATCATTTAGTGTATAACATAAGGCTGACTCTGTTTATGCAAAGCTTTTGGTTTCCAAAAGAGGTCTAGCAAATATCTATCTCCTCATTAATTGGATTTCAAGAAAGAAAAAATTCCATTGATTAATTTAAGGCTTTTAATATGTAAAAACCCCTTAATATTCACCAAAATAGCAACAGTGGTTGTCTCTGGGTAAGGGTGCTTCAGGCAAGATCGGTAGTTGCAAGCACTAGAAAAACAATTACGGCTGTTTTAAACATACAACAGATTTATTTTAAAACACGAGATAGTTTACAAAATCTTAAGTGGGGGGAGGGGGCATAAAGGACTAAATAGGCCAGCTCAGGAAGCCAGGAGCAATGTTCAAAATCACCCCAAAACCAGTTCGGTGAAGTCACCACTACCCCAGGCTTTGTCTGGAAATTTCCTCAATGTGATGAAAAACATCAATGTACAGATTCGATAAACTCAATAAATTCCACTTAAAAAATGCATGCATCTGTATCTGTAAGGGATTTAGGACAGGGGTGTAAGCTACAGTTTTGCAGTGCCACACGGTTAAAGAAGACCAACAACCTGAAAGTTAATTGTGAACAGAAAACCGAACTGACTGCTGGGTTCGTTTCAGGAAGAACCCTCTTGCTATTATTGAGAACCAGAGGGAGATGGGAGCCAGAGGGACTTCCCCCTGACTCCTTGCTACAGACGGGGACCTCTAGTCAAGTATCCACAGGCTCTAAGGAAGCCCCTGGGGTGGCATTCCAGATTCCCTGTAATAGATGTCTAGCATGTCCCAGGCTCTTCCTTGTCTTGGAACGCAGCTAAGACTAGGAGCCCAGAACTGGGATTTCAAAGAGCCTGCTCCTGCTTTTAAATTTGAACCAGTTTTATGGCTGAAGGTGTTTTACTCTCTAACCAGAGAACAAGCAGGTATTTAAGAACTTACTCACCTGGTAGACATTCTGAATGGTGTATTTTTTGTGCCAGGCACTGGGTTGGACTGAGCAGTTGAGGATGAAGAAGGGCAGATCTAGGCCCTTACTTAGGGAGCTCATAGTCCAGTGAGGGGCAGAAAATAGGTAAATGCAGTCAGATAAGTCCAGTGTTAGTTGCTGCAGAATCTCCTAGGAGCAGAGAAGAGAGCACATGGAACACTGGTGGTGGCAGTGAAGTTCTGCAGAGGAAACAAGGTCTGAGCTGATGACAAGTGGCCAACAGGACAGGTGCAAAGCCTCGGCATGTGAGCCAGCATAGTGAGCTCAGGGCCCTGCCCTTTAAAGAAGGAATATGGAAAAGAGATTCCCAAGGCTTTCAGAGCAAGTATTTTAATAATCTCAACTTGGGCTGGAGATTTCTAAATTTGGAGGCTTTCACTTTGGAATAGTAAATGTCTTGTTTTGTACTCAGCCATGGACAAATACCTGTTGTTCTTGTTTGTTTTTTTAGTCCTCACCTGAGGATATTTTCCCAGTGATTGGTTGCCTTTGCACATGCCCCAACCAGGGCCGAGGAGGAGCCCTCAACCCAGGCATGTGCCCTTGACCGGAATCGAACCTGGGACCCTTCAGTCCACAGGCTGATGTTCTTTCCACTGAGCCAAACCGGCTAGGGCACGAGTACCTGTTTGACAGAGCTGTTTATCCATTAGTCCCTTCCTCCTTCAGTGTTACCTCTGGTGACACCTCAGCTCCTGGAATGTCCAGCCAGCCCAGGAAGCTGCTCTTCTGCAGGCAACTTAGTTCCCCAAGAGGTCTGGGTACACCTGGGAAAAGAGGATGCAGGAAAATAACTGCAGGGCATTCAGGAGTCCTGCCAACCACCTCAGACGTCCTGTACTCTCTGGAGTCAGGATGCTGAGATTTGAATACTGTCTCTGATTCTAGCTGTATGCTTTGAGGCAAATTATTTAAGTTTTCTGAGCCTTAGTTTGCTTATTTGTCAAATGGGAATATTAATAATTTCCACCTCATGGGGATTATGAGGACTAAATGAGATAAAACATGTAAGTAAGGCAGATAGCACTGTGCATATTAAGGACTTGATAAGTGCCAATTATCATTGCTGTTGTTAATATTATGCCATGCTCCCGATATCTTTTTAAAAATCCATGTCCTTTCAGTGCTTTTTCACTCTTATCTTTTGCGTATAGCCACTGGATAGATTCCATCAAGCTTTACTTTCCTGCCTTTACTAGTATATTATGAAGCGAGTATTGTATGTGCTTTCTCAAACCATGATCGCTCCACTGAAGTTCCTGACATCAGTCTCTCACCCCCTACTCCCACCACTGGTTGACAAATGGGGTCATTGTAGGCTTTCAAGCAGGGAGGGGAGACATCTGACTTGGTGAGGTTGCCTGCAATATCAATTAATTATCTTGGAATCAAATGTATAGCATGTGTCTAAAATAGTTTATAAGCTCTGATGTCTTCATTTATCAACCACATTAATTTTTTTATTTCTGGGGCGATGACACTCATGCTTACCATATCTATTGTACTACTCTGGGCCCAGAGATGTTATATTTCACACACTGTTTAAATAAGCCCTTGCCATTTTCTGAGCTAACACTCCCAGGGTGAGTCAGATGTTTGCCTCTGACAGCATGGCCTCTGCAAGTGGCCTTGCTTTCAAGAGTCAGGCTGCTCTCTCTGAGGAACTCTGGCTTGGCTGCCACCTAATGGTGAGTTTTGTAAGTAAAAAAATGACTGGAGAAACACTTCAAACTCACCCTTGGAAATGAGACGCTGTCACTGTGAGTCATTCCGGATGAGAGCGTGATAGATATTAACTCATCTTTGTAAGAGATGACTAAGTGCTTCTGGCCAACTGGAGGCTGTCTTTGAAAAATAATTCCATTTGGTTTTCTTCAAATATGAATTTTAGGATTTTCTAAACATATTAATAATTTTTCTTTTCAAAACCCACCTGAGCAGGGGAAAAACTAGGCCAGCATCGGAGAAAGGGAGGGTGTATTGCTAATATTTGTCAAGCCTTTAGAACAGAGGTCCTCAAAGTTTTTAAACAGGGGGCCAGTTCACTGTCCCTCAGACATTCCACACATGTGCACTGCGGGCCCAGGACGAGTCGGCTGCTAAGCAGGACAGGCAGTGGCGGCAAAAACACCCGGCAGGCCGTACTTTGAGGACCCCTGCTTTAGAAGGTGCCAAGCTCTGCTGTAAGCACTAAGAATATCTCACTTAACCCTGATTTCAATCCTGATATAGGTACAGTAATATACACAAACTTAATAATTATTATATATTGTCACTGTTGTGGTTGTTATTTTATAAATGAGGAAATTAAAGTTTTGGTAGGTCTAACATCACTTTGCTAGTATGTGGCAGTACTGGAATTCTAACCCAGGCCTGTCTGACATCAACTGTGTTCTTGAATGATGCCTTCACTTCTCTACATCAGCTGGGTTCCAACATTAACTCCTCTTGCAAATATTTGTCAAGGTCCAGAATGTGCACTCTATTGAGTACTGGTTATCAGTCAGCCATGAACCAGATGCAGACCCTTCCCTCATGGAGCTTATAGGCTAGTGGGAGGAAAGTAAAAAAGAAATTGCAACATAGCTTGATAAATGCTATAATGAGGTGAGCACAGGGTGCTAGGGACCATAGATATAAGTGGATTATACTATAACCTTGGGGCAGTCAGGGTTGACTTCCTAGAGGAGGTGACCAAGGTAATTCCTACAGTATGACTAAGAATAGACAGATCCAAAGAAGAAGAGAGATTAGAGAAGGACATTTCAGCCAGAATAAACAGCAGGTGGATGGGACCAGAGGTCTCAGGTGGATACTGAGTACCAAGAAAACACTCTCAAGACTGGAGAGTTTCAGGGAGGGACCTAGGAGCTGGCTCATTTGAGTGCTGACTTTTGTCTTCTGTGTCCAGCAGGCTACCTCTTTGCAAAAATAACACTGCTTGGTAAGAGAGGCTCTGAGAGAGTATTACCTCCCCCCGGTGGCCTGAAATAGATGTATCACTGCTGTCCTGGGCCTCAGTGAGAAGCTCTGAGAAGCTTGGTGATGATGCTGGTTATTGAGCTCTAAGCTCGGCCACGGTGGATCTGGTGGACTAGCAAATGTTGTGTGATCAAGAAATCACAACACCACATGCTATTTCCTGGTGCATCTCAAAGCCAAAATTTGGGAAGATGAATCCTGGTTTCCTGTTAAGCATAATTGCCAAGAAGAAGGAACCATGGTAATAGAATGGACCACAGAGAAGGCTCCCTCTTGTGAGCTGCTAGTTCCTTCACAGATGGTGTGAAGGAATTTCTGGGCTCTTCTCAAAAGGGTGAGACCTTAGGAAAGGCATCTTTTCCTTTGTTTCTCCATGGTATTGCCCCACTAATGGTCTTCAGCACAAGTCTCTTAGTACACAGATGCTTATTGGGCAAAGTGATTTCACCAAATTACAAGTAAACCATGAAGCAGGTAATTTAGAGGTGTGTGATGTATTCAGTCAACCGGATTTGGCTTCACACAATGAGTAGTTGTTGCCTCACATTTTTGTCCCTTTTGTTTCCTACCTGCCTACTTGGGTCACCTCACCAGGGCCTTTGGAGATGCTTTCGACTTTCTTACTAGATTTTGCAGACTTAACCCTTTGGTGTAGGTTGGAATGGTTGTTCCAGAGCCTGGATTCCAGCCTTCTGTTTTATCATCATTTTTCTGTGTCTCTTAGCCAAATCTCCCCTGCTAGGCCCTTTCTTTCCTCGTGGAGAAATTCTCCCTCAGAGATTGCATTTCTTTATTTAAATCTTTGTAGAATCAGTGTGAATCTCCCAGTCTTAATGGCAGGGACCAATTCAAAAACAGGAAATTACTGTGACATGTGGGAGGACTTAGCACCAATTTTCTATTTCTGACTCATTTAATATCCTATTAAACTGCTTTCATAGCATAGTGGTTAAGAACACGGGCTCTAGTTCTGCCACTGTCTAACTTAAATAATCTTGGGCAGTTAACTGAACCTGTTTTCATCTCATTTTCTTCATCTGTTAGTTCACGGGGTTGTCCTGAGGATAATCAGCCACAACTGCACAGTACTGAGAACAGTGCCTGGCTCAGGGTAAGACTGTTGAGTGTTCGCTTTCTTCTGGTCAGCTACTATTATGTTTTTTGACTACTTCTTGTGGTGCCTCCAAACATGAACAAATCACATTTATGTCTTGTTTAGATAACATTTGCCTATAGAAAAAAATTGTCAAGAACTTCACGATGTTTATTTGGGAAATGCCATTCCTTCACTGTGATTTTCACAAGCCTCAAAAAAGCCCATATGGCAGTAACAAAGACTCTGTGTATATAGACTTCCAGCTCATTCTTTCTACTTAACAAAATCACACTCTAGCTTTCTCTAGAACACCCTTCCAAATGCCCAACTGTATACTGTTCTAGTTGTTGTGCCCATTTCATTTCCTCTTCTAGTACAAGTTCTGAACCCTCTCAAGTAATCTCAGGTAGTAGGTATAACTAATTTACATTAAACTAGTGGCCCAGTGCACAAAATTTGTGCACAGGGGTGGGGCAACCCTCAGCCTGGCCTGCACCCTCTCCAATCTGGGACCCCTCGGGGGATGTCCGACTGCTGGTTTAAACCCTCATGCAATCCAGGACTGCTGGCTCCTAACCGCTCACCTGCCTACCTGCCTGATTGCCCCTAACCACTCTGCCTGCCAGCCTGCTCACCCCCAACTGCCCCCCCCACTCACCTGATCACCCACAATGTCCCCCCCCACCAGCCTGATCACCCACAACTGCCTTCCCCTCTTGGCCCCTAACTGCCTCTACCTTGGCCCTGCCATCATGGCTTTGTCCAGAAGAACATCCGGAAGGTCTCCTGGAAGATCTCCCAGTCTAATTAGCATATTACCCTTTTATTAGTATAGAGGCCTGGTGCACTGGTGGGGGCCGGCTGGTTTGCCCTGAAGGGTGTCCTGGATCAGGGTGGGGGTTCCCTTGGGGGGATGGGTGGCCTGGGCGAGGGGTCTGTGGTGGTTTGCAGGTCAGTCACGCCCCCATGGAGTGAGGGTCCTCCCTGGGGGGGGGGTGCGGCCAGCCTGGGTGAGGGACTGATGGCTGTATGAAGGCTGGCCATGCCCCCCAGTGGGGACCCTCACCCTGATGGTGGCATGGCCAGCCTGGGTGAGGAGCTGAGGGCCATTTGCAGGCCCCTCCTTCAGTGGCCAGCCCAGGCAGGCTGGAAACTTGGCTTCCTTCATGGCCAGGGGCGACCCACACCTCCCGCTAATTTTTTTTTTTTTTTTTTTTTTAAATATATTTTATTGATGTTTTACAGAGAAGAAGGGAGAGGAATAGAGAGTTAGAAACATCGATGAGGGAGAAACGTCTATCAGCTGCCTCCTGCACACTCCCCACTGGGGATGTGCCTGCAACCAAGGTATATGCCCTTGACCAGAATCGAACCTGGGACCCTTGAGTCCGCAGGCCGATGCTCTATCCACTGAGCCAGACTGGTCAGGGCCCGCTAATTTGCATATTCCCTCCTGATTGGCTGTGGGGTGTCGTGGAGGTACGGTCCATTACATATTTGTCTATTATTAGTGTAGATAGCTTTCTATTAAAATTTGTAATTTATTCTCATGGATACCAGTATTCTATTGTGTGCTAGTTTATGCTATTTGGTCTTGGAATCTGCTCCATTCATTTATGGGTTCCTGAATGGAATTTGGATAAATGTCTACATTGGTGTTTTCAATATATTCCATAAGTCTGAACAAAATCCTGACATGGTACTGCACACTCATCATTTCCTTCTCTTCAGGAATTACTCTGTGCAATAATAAATGCTATTCCTTCTTAGTGATTTATTTGACAAAAGCCAAAAATGATATTCTGCTGAAGAAAGATCATATTTGCCTTTAAAAAAATTTTTAGTTCTTTCAGCCATAATATAATATAATATAATTTGATTTGTCATTGCTTCATGTATATTATATTTTCATCTTTGTTTTTCTGAATGCTAATATTCTAGTTATCTCTGTTTTAGCATGAAGAAGATGAGAATTTAAGGCAAAAACTCTCAATACTTGAGCCAGTTTTACTGTTTTCTTTGCAAAGATGTAGGAGATAAAATGACCATTCCTATGTTAGTTCCTTTGCCCTGTGGAAAGGAACATAATAGAATTAACTAGAAGTCATATCTTAGTGTCTTTGTGGTTGGGAATTGTGAGGATAAGTAATGGCATCTTTATTGACTGCCATGACTATTTGGCAATGAGGGAAAACACTCTGAGCTACTTAGAAGACTACATTGGCATAGTGAATGTGACACCTGAGTAGGTTATTGTACATGTGCTCTCTAGACTTGAGTCTCCTAGTCACTGAGTGATTTCAAATCCAGACACATTACTTTTACATAGTTGGATGAAAAGCTGGGAATTTCATAAAGGACCTCCTCCTTGAAAGGAGAGATGTGTCTCTTGCTTGTGAGATCACAGGTCTCCATGCCTCACCCTGAGCTGGTGGTGGCTTTGGGTGCTTCTTGACAGCACTATAAATAAGTGAGGGCCACATGGGGTATCTTTCCACATTTCTTTCAGGGAGCCCTCACTTCACTCTGGGTCTCTTCTCCTGTGGCATTTCTGGCTGCCTAGAGCCTTTGCTTGGGCCTCACCCTTGGCAGCGCTTACTTCTTTCCCTTCATTATCACTGCCTTTGAGAGAAAAGATAAATACATAACATCTGCTTTTAACACCTATTTCCATTTCAAAACTCTCTACCTCTAAACTTATCTATATAAATTATTTAAAATTATTTTATTGAATATGTATGCTGAAAACTACAACATACAGTT